ACTATTGATTTGTCTCTCAGCCCATCGATAATGGCTGACACATGCGAAATCAATCGATTGACCGATTATGCGATCAACCGCTCCAACACTAGTATCAATCCATTTTCACTATGTACAGGTACCTCCCCTCCTTTCCCTGTTTCCACTACCCTGTGGATGATTGAAGGCCATAATGCCAAATGAAAGGTCACAAAAGCACATCACACTCACACAGTGTACATGGACATGCTCCCACATGCATCATATAAGGCCTCAACATTCCTTAAATCAAACTTTCATTTAATGTCACAAATACATGCTGAACAGCTTAGAGTGCAACACTATAAACATTTAGCAATGATTAAATGAAGTTTTGTAGGAGTGTGACATTGCACCAATAAAGAGGACAAATTGCATGATAATGGGACACTAATCTTCCTTTCACTAAAATATGGAAATATTATGTCTGGCAAAACACTAGCCTTGAATAGCTACATAACAGCTGATAACAATAATCATTCTGTCATTCCCTAGAAAAAGATATGTTGAATTTATACAATACAAACATAAAATATGTTGTAAGTACACATCATAGTGTTTGCAGTGTGTCTGTGTACAACATATGATTTACACATCAGGGTCAGCAAGCAGAACAGTAAAATGTCTTCAGTGGTCACATGTAATCTCAGCTGTCAGTCAGCATTGGATATTGTACGATTCTGCTTACAGAAATTGCCATGTGTTTGCGAAAAAAGTTAGCACAATCTCATATTCACATTTATGAGTAATATCATCAGTTTCAAAAACACCTGCTGTATGTGCTTAATTTGCATAATGTATTGTATAATATTGTATCTGAGTAGTAACTGTACTGTCTTTATTCACAAAGTTCATGTCTTTATTCACAAAGTTCATGTTGCTAACAAAAAGAAAACAATGCAAACATTTCAGAATGAAAAGGAGATTGAGTAGTCTTTTAAAAATGACAATGACAAATGAATTGTCTCTAGAGAAAAGTGAAATGCATAATCAAGAAAAATATGGCATGAAAGAATAGTGTACCTATGTAGCTTGAGAACTCCTGGAGAACTTGCAGGTTTGAGAGTAGCTATAACAACATAATGTTAACATCTTTGTGGGTATTGTTAAGAATTTCTTAAACCAGTATCATATATGATGTAATGGGTTATTATTATGACATACTGACATAGGCATTGTTTTACTTTTATTTTTCTTCCTTCTGAGTTGGAATGATAATGTATTATTATAGTGAGTGAGTGAGTTTAGTTTTACGCGCACTCAGCAATTTCCACTTATATGGTGGCAGTCTGTAAATAATCATGTCTGGACCAGACAATCCAGTGATCAACAGCATGAGCATCAATCTACACCTTTGGGATACGATGACATGTGTCAACCAAATCAGCGAGCCTGACCATCCGATCCTGTTATAATATTATAAGGACAAAGGGATGGGAGCACTCATTTGCACAAAGGCACACCTTGTGTGTGTATATGTATAATTGATAATATGAGGAAACATTACAAGTCAGTTACTGCATTCTGCATGTTACTTACATGAACAGAATCTTTCATTTGAATATAATACCCTTCAGATTCAAATTAAACCTTTTAGCAGCCCAGACACTGGAAATCTATTGCATTATATCACATTCTATATAAACTACATTTTAACCAGTGCTCCAATAACTCCTGTCATATGTTACATGTGCTTCGTTGTGGGGCAGGAAACTAGAAAACTCTCAGGAGTCAAGCTGCCCGACACTGTCACCCATATATAGGGCTCTCTGTGAATAACATTGCTTAACTTCAACTGATTTGTGACCTGGGGTCTATGCAGAGGCCCACACACCACCACCATATGGATCATTTCCTTAGAACAATCACATTTTCTCATGATGCAAGTGTACAGTCATTAGATGATTTAAGAAATAGTTTCAAATATAACCCCCATGGACAAGCCTGTTGGAGAGTATACCCACATATTTTGCATTTTTCAGTCAAATCAAAAACTTATGTTGCTATGTCATATCAAATGCTTATATATCACTATACTTTCTGTAAGCCTTTGCTCAGTTAAAACCTGTTATCAATTCATTTACTGCAGTCATGGTTGATACTCAGCTAGACTAATGGTTAGTCTCTGAATATATATAATTTTGACTGTAACAAATAAACCCATTTAAATAGAAAAGGAGCCCCAGGGAGCACTTTGAACGTAGCCAATGTGTTAAGAATGGGCTTAAGAAGTTCGTAAGAAATAGCCAGTGATCAAGACTTGCTTCATTTAGGGCTTTAGCATTGCGGAGGGCTAGGCTGTAGGGAAAATAATATAGCTCAGGGACTGTGAGACAGACTAATACTCAGCCTACACAGGAAACTTAAAATATCTGTGGAAAAGTGAATCGCCATGCCATATGTTACTGATTACCTCATTTCATCCATGGCATGGCTGCTGCACACTAATGAAGCATTGCTGGTAAAATAGTGTGTTTATAGTACCGAGCCATTTAATTAAATGCTTATTTCTGTCAATATGGTAATAATCCAATTATCTATCACCAAGTATTTAGAAGAGTATGAAATAAGGAATAAATATAAACCTGATCATACACAATTTCAAGGGTATTTAAACCTGTGTCATAAATATACAATATTTACAATTATTTCAGACATTATAAATGTATGTACATGATGGCCATATTTACACACGTTTGTCATATTTGTTTAAGTCCCCCAAATGCTCTTTATTTCATGACCTGTAAAGCAAATGCAAATTTAGTGGCCAAATGATACATAATTTCAAATGTTGGTCATATGGGCCTCAGGCGATATGTTTATTTCCTCATATAGTTATATTTGGGAAATACTGTTCTTTTGTGTGGTGATGCCAGAAGAGTGCTAGCAAATACAGCTGCCCCTAAAAATATCGAAATTCTTATAGCCTGGAACAGATTTAACATTGGACACAGTGATGCTGTATCTGTTGTTGTCGGAATAGGTATTGTAGAAATGTACAGCAGTTTTCTTTCTGTATACACATATTACGACACCTGCCAAAAACAAAAATGTACTGTAACTTGGCAATATGTACAGCTTTGGACAAATATATTTTCACAACGCATGAAACTGGTTATAGTTTGTCATGTACCTCTGTTGTGCTGTAAGCTTGGTTGATGCAATATGTACTTTGTTCAGGGACTATATCCAATTTGCATCCCTGAACATACAACACTGTAGTACAAAGTGTAACCTATACCCATACTCTAACCAAAACTAGGGCTAAATCACTGGACTTTAGCCCTCATTCAGGACACATGGCCTATTCAACATGTTCAACCCTCTCCCTCTTCCACACATACACTTCTTCTATAATTAATTACCAGGCGTCACCTGAGCAAAACGATGTAATATACACAAGATCCTTTGGACAGACTGAAGTGAATAATCAGAACTAGCCGTCACCTGATCAAGTGTTACAATGGGTGTCATAATTATATCTCAGTCTGCATGTCGCTTTTACAACACTTGTAACCACTGACCTCCAGTATCATGCATTGTTCATAGCAGACTGACTTATATATGATGGTATTGAAAGACATCTTGTTGTCCTACATATGAATCACACTAACAGCCTGAACTATTGATCTATTTTAGATATTCTCTACATGTGATACACCTCAATATATATCATACTTTTAGGGTGATTTTGTCACACCCACTATAACCATTAACAAAAGTAAAGAGTAAAGTGAAAAAGGAATTGTACAGCTAAATATTTTGATTTGCTTGGGTACTTGGAAATAGGACAGGAAAGGAAGATTTGCAAATGGAATACAAAAATATATATGGAATACATTTGCAATTCTTAATTATTAGTTGTTTTTTCTTAAAATATCAAGCAAATACTTCAGTTATTGAATTAAACAGATGTTGAATTAATTACTACACAGAGAATAAATGCGGGCTGGTCACCCTGCCACTACTACCCACCAGTCCCTCAATATGGTCTTAGCCCTACGGTGATTGTAACTCCCAGAATGTAACATTACATAGGCTTACAACCATTGCAGTCCTCAGATTGTTTTGTGAAACTGGGCCCTGGATCTGTGCAATTTTTGCCTGCTGTAAACGTGAAACTTTACACAGGTATAAAATGTTGAAATATTGGTATTTAAAATTACCAGACATTGTTCAAATGATGGAAAACTTAGCCAGTTTTGTTTGCTCTTTTTCGTTATATTGCATGGTTTTGCTTTTGCACATAATACAATAAACAAGTATGGCTAATATGAGAGAAAAACAAATCTTTTCAAAAAGTGAAAAATATCTATTCTTATATAATGTTATTACTGATTTAAGGAACACATTGTAAGAAATTAATAATTGAGTCACAGATTTGTTTGTGTTCAAAATAAGAAGTTTTTCTGAAAACTACTAAAATGAGACTTTTTAACAGGTTTTAGTTACCTAAACATTAAAAATTTATATATATGAGTCCAAAACATGCACATGTTGAAATGAACAACTTAAAATTCTCAGTCATTTGAAAAAACATGTTAACTTTCATAATCATTTGAAAAAGTTTTCATTATCCCAAAAGGGTCTATATCATGATCTTTCCATCCAATATATACTGTCATGGACTAGTGAATTGTGTAGAATGATATTTCCCAATACAGAGCATGAGTCACAGTGCTTTCCACCCTGTATAAAATAAGATTCCATGTCTGCACAGATGCAAAATTATCCCACAGCACTGTGTATTGGTAGTGACATCACCATCTTCATCTCCCTTATCCCCAACTTAGTTCTTAATTTCCCTCACTCATGGTTTTGAAATTAACCAATCAATTTGCCCCTTTACATGACATTGGCATAAAACTATATATCTGTTCAATGAAACAGCTTTGCAGGAACAGACTGTGCGTCAACACTGCCCATCATCAGAAAATTTACAAGAAAGTCATATTGAATGTTCTGTGCAAGTAGTATCTTACCTGCAATAGGGGGTCCAACTGTCATTGGAAGACTGAATATCCCAAAGAGAAAGCCAAGGGCCTGTGATGCACCGGTGGGACCCACAATATCAAAGGCAATAGGTCCCAGGAGACAGATGAATATACCGTCACAGATGCCCATGACCAGAGTGATAGCGATAAGACTTGCAAAGTTGTTCGCAAATGGAATGCACATGGTTGTCACACCCAAAATAAGGAAAGCAAACTGCTGCATTCTAATTCGGTTGACCCAGGAAAAGTCAGCAACCTTCCCAAACACAATTCTGCCAACCCCTGAGGTGATGCTCATACACATGACCAGCAAGCTGCCATCATAACTGGGGAACCGGTCACTGGTGTGTTTCACCTGCAACAGATGACAACAATTTGTCAACAAATATTACATGAAATTCTTATCGACATAACAACCATGATCATTTACAGTAAAATCTTCTTCATCAGGAGGGGCGGTGGGGTAGCCTAGTGGTTAAAGCATTTGCTCATCATGTTGAAGACAGAGGTTCGATTCTCCACATGGGTACAATGTATGAAGCCCATTTCTGGAGTCCCTCACTGTGATATTGCTGAAATATTGCTAAAACCAGCGTAAAACTAAACTCACTCACTCATTCTGCATCTGGACCTGTACCTTGACATTAACTCATTTCTGTTTGAGATAACGGAACATGTTACTATGTTGTTATTACCAGTCCTTAAATGGGGAGTTATTCTGAGAGCAAATCAGGAGAGACTACATGTAGTTAGTTTATCCAACGAAATGAGCTGTGGTCTAGCTGCAGTTACTCATAGTGACTGCTAGTCTGTCTCACAGTCCCTGAACCACATTAATTTCCCTACTGTCAAGCCCTCTCTGCAGTGCTAGAGCCCTAAATAAAGCAAGTCTAGATTTCCTCAGGTTCTGAATCTCTGGTCTCCCTAGGGCTCTTTTTCAATATAAATGGGCTTGTTTGTTACTATCAAATTATATATATTCAGAGACTAAGCCTTAGTCTAAGTGACTGCCAGTGATGTTCGCTTCTGGAAATGTGTAAATACAGGAATATGGATCTCTTTGCACGTCTTACCACTAGGCTTTTTTCTGGTTGTTTAGCACTGTACTCAGCAATATTTCAGCTACAGCAGTGTAACCCGAAATAGTCATAGAACCTCCCTCACTGGTAGCATACCGTACATCTCCCAAGACTGACAACTCAACACAGTTTAATGTCCCCTGTTGTGGACCTATCCTATCAGAGACACATACAGTACTAAATTCATTTGGGTCTATTGTCATGTCTATCTATACATTTCACATTGTTTCACAAAAAATATAAGGCATAAAACTAACTTTCTACTTACCAAATGTACAAAAGGTACAAAATATCCAAAAAGAGAAACACCATTTGAAAGTGCCCAAACAACATATCCCTTATTTTTCCAGATATTCACATTGAGGAACTTCTTGGTAAATGAACAACAGTCATTCACATGCTCAACAATACTTTCCTTTGACAGAGCAAGACTTGCTAGGTTGGACTCTCTCTTTATCAAAGGTTTCCATGTTAAGGCACAGAATATCAACAAAAAGTTCAGTCCTCCTAAGAAAATGAACGTATATCGAAGTCCAGCTTCTTTCAACAAGACGGGGAGGCACAGGGAGAGGCCTATTGTGAACACGGAACTTCCAAAGGTCACCAGTCCATTCACCAGACCCATATGCTTTCTGAAGTAATGTCCAAGGATGACTAGTGATGGTGCATAGGAACACGAGGATCCAATTCCAAGGAGTATTCCATAGGTAAGATATAGGAGTTGTAACTGGTTCACAAAAGCACTTGCCAGTAAACCAAGAAATCCAAGAAATCCACCAAACATGGCTGTTTTCCTGATTCCAAGTCTGTCACTGACAATACTTGCAAACATACACATGAGGAATGTTGTACCTGTGCACACTGAACCGACCCATGCTGTAAAACAATAACACAGGCGTGAATGTAGTGTACAAAAACAAGAATTACAGAACTTAAGGAACTTCTTCTATTGGAACGAAGACAACTCAAACACAACTTTTCAAGTATTGTTTTTTCAGGTGAGCAACATTATAACTTCCCTGTTGTATGGATGTGCCTAGCATACAGTTTGTTAAAGTATGAATGAGGATAAACATGAAAGAAGGGCAAAGAGGGCAAAATTCTTTTGTTTTATCTCTCCCAATCAAAGCATTATAGAGTCACCTGAGTGTCCATATCTTAATTTATATATAAATACTATGCAAGCATCTGGTGAGCAAAATACATATATTGTATTCTTCATATTTGTGTATTATGATGCATAAACACGAAGGCACCAATCACTTTAACTTTAAGAAGTATACAAATTATAATGATTGGGACAAAAACTTTGAGCATTTGGTGATAATATAATACATATTTTTTTTATGTTTTGGATATAGAAACACACAATGGTAGTAATATCCTAATCATATATGGTATAATATCTTACATAAAATTTTCAAGACCATATTTTCCTAACATTAATGCAAAACATTAAAGTTTGTTTCTTTGTTGTGAATATCAGTTTAGTTTTCTTTGACACATTCTACTGTGAAAGACAAAAACATCACAGCACTTGCACAATGTCTTTAAATGTCAAAGTGAAGCGCTGAAATCACACATTCTATAACTGGATTCCAAAACAAAACAGTCTTTGAGTGTGGACAAATTTCAGACGAGTTTCCGGTTTTTAACATGCTGTGCAATTTTAACGATGGGGCCAAACAGTTGTTTTTGTGACAAGTTTACTGGTTGTTTGGGGGCTATTTCGTTTTTAAAATCAAAATTTGTTCAAACAGTTGCATGAACAATGGGACAATCTCATTATAAAATTCTGCAAAATTGTACCCATCCATGGTACTTGCACTTTACTATGGTACTCTTTAGAAACTGTGTATGAATAGTGTTTGAATGAACTGCCTCTGTATTACATACTGCCTTATGATTTGAAGCCATTGTTGTCTACATTATCATCAACACTTCAGAAAACTCCTATCTAATCGTACTGGGAATGTATGGAATGCTAATCAATGTATGGAGATAAAAACTACTTCACGTCTTCATTTGCATATTGTAGATTGTGATATCTGATTTGATTCGAATCAACATCTCCATACAATGATAAAATATTTTCATGCATATACTGAACAAGACATTTATGGATTATGAATATTTTTTACACTATAATTGTAAACAAATTTTACACTATAATTATTTATATGAGCACCCATTTATATGAGGTAGTGCATGACGGCGTCACAAAACCAACATTGTAGGTGATGTCCTCATGATCTACATCATGGCAGTGAGAAATAATGATCACTCAAACTACATGTTTCTTCATGTTCCTCCCTGTTCAGGTGCTTGTCATTTAAATGCTCTACAATAAGCAAAAAAGATTTACACAAGACTTAAATGACATTCAGTATATCTGTACCATTTGTTTCACAATACAGTGGACTCTGTCAATACCGGCCTCTCTTAACACCGGCACTCTGTCTACATCGGCACAAAGTTTCAGTCCCGGCAGAAATGCACGTTATTATCATTTAGAAACTTCTGTAAACATCGGCATCTGTCTATTCAGGATATCGGCATTGTTTTTCAGTCCCAACGAACAAGTTGTTATGAAAACGAATCTGTAAAAACCGGCACATGAAAGACGGCGTAACCCTTTGATGTAACTAGGTCCAAATGATGTAACAACACAATTCGCTGTGACTCGAGATTATTCAGAAACGGGAAGTGTTAATCAGTATCTTGTTAATCAGTGAGTGAGTGCGTAACACTTACCCAGAGTAATTAATACATGTAGTGGGCAGTTTGACTGTATAAACAAGCAAGTGTTTACATTTTGTTGATTAGCGAATTATTGACTCGAGATTATTCAGAAAGCGGGGAAGTGTCAATCAGTTTCTTGTTAATTAGTGAGTGTACGTGTCACTTACATAGAAGCGAATCGTTTGATGGCGTGTATCGTTCGAAAGCTCTGAACATCAACAATATCACTGTACTCTTGCCGAGTATTTTCACATTTGTAAGAAGCGATTTTATTGGATAAAGATTGGTTTCTAGCGGCGGCTTTTCACTACACTCTGCTTATAAGGGTGCGTGATTGGTCAAAATCGAACCGTGACCTAAGCAACCAATCATATTATGGAAATGGATGCCGTCCTAAATTAAGCGGAAGCTTTTAGATTAAGGCGAAAGTTTTTGGGTAAAATAATGCTATTCTGAACATATTAAGAAGACATATAGCTACCTATCGTAAATTATGGAGCGTATTGGACATATCGTGCTAGGTTATGGCCTATGACAAAATGCTTCATGCATATATTTTCACATTAAGCATCGTGTGAAAGCCGAGATGTAACTTGTCAGTGACTTGACTTACATTGCATGATCGCACAAAAGTATGGAAATAGTAATTTTATATGTACGTTTGACTGAATGTTATTGTTGATTTCAATTTATTTAATGATTTCCTCGATGTTTGAAACATCGTTACTTTGCTCTTTGACAATGCTATTGTAGACCGCTGCGAAGCATAAACAAGAATCGTTGTTTGCAATAACATTCACGAAAAATAGTTTATAATTTTAATTCTGCCGATAATATATGATCAGTTGAAATTTAATAAGAGATTCCAGACATTTTTATTTGATTTAAACAACATGAATGTGCATTCAGACACTGCCTTGTTTCTTATTCAAACATCTTGTTAATGCTAAAGTGACAGTACGACAGCGAACTTCCGTGTGCGCAGACGTCATAAGCGAACCTAGCTAAACCGGCACTCTGTCAAAACCGGCATTTTTACTTGGTCCCGACTGATGCCGGTATTGACAGAGTACACTGTATATTACAGAACAGTGACACACTTCATTAAACAAAACCCTCCCTGTTGGCATTTCTGTGACTGTAACATTAAGTTTTAACTGACTAATAATTAGGGGTGGGGCGATAATACCGGTTAACTGGTATATTGCAATTCAAACTTCACAATACAATATATTGCGGTACCCTTTTCGCAAACCGGTTCTGCCGATACCATCGGCAATTTCCGTGACCGTTATCGGTAATTCTCATGATGTAGTCAAAAATACTAATGACATTTGTATTTCCTTTATTATTATGAATTAATAGTTTTGAGAATGTTTATTGGTCATATAATTTCATTTGCGTGACATTTAAACCATATAAACAAAACACTCGTTGCAGGGATAAACAGACCAAACAGCGGACGCTGCTGCAGATGCTTTTTCTCGAGTTCCAAACTTTAAAGCGAAGTCTTAAATTGGGAACCATTTCAATTGATCTCTTGTACAATCACATCTGAGTCCTGACAGTGGTCAGTGGCATTGTTTCAAAAGAAAGGAAACAGTAATTTCTTTACCTTAAACCATGTGTGACACTTTCACAATATATTGCAATATTCGCCAACACATATCGCAATACGTAAATTTTGGCAATACCCAACCCTACTAATAATAGTAATATTCAACATAAACTTTTATACATAAATGGATCACAAACTGTTTACAGCTTTAAATGGAGTGACCTTTACACAGTGCAATATTTCTTTTCAATTTAATCTTAATTGTGGTTTAAATCAAGGGGAATTCATAGGGTATTTAGGGTTTCCGATCCCTTGTAACTACATTTAGAGTGTGTAATCCCACAACAATGCTTATACCGACATAGACTTTAAAGTATCACTGGGATTTCCTAGTCATGAGTCCAATATGGTAGTTATTACACAGATGCCATGTAAACAAAGGGATTTCAGGTGTGAATTATTTAGACCAGGTATTACTTAAGGCCTTCCACACACACTGTATCAGCTTCCTTTCACCAGTTAATTGGCCTGGGCCTGAAACTCCCCTCACACAGGTTTATTCCAGATCATAGGTTTACTGATACTCTGATATAATCATGTCTCTACATGTGACTTGTGTCCAGGACTGGCTCCAGCTGATCAGTACCTTTGTGACATAAGGAAGGTTATGTCAGAACTACCCTCACTGCGGGAAGCCCTATATACTGAGCCGTTTTCAACATGCACTGTTCACATTGCTGCTGTGGCTCCAATCTCTGAGTCTCCTTATACTGACTGACTGACTGAGTATGGTTTTACGCCGCTTTTAGCAATATTCCAGCAACATCAATGAGCCGTTTTGGGCTTCACATTGAACCCATGTGGGATTCAACCGGGTCTTCGGCGTGACGAGCCAACGCTTTAACCATTAGGCTACCCCACCGCCCCCAGTCTCCTTATACAACAGCATTCTTCATTACACAGATTGCATAAAGTCTTAACTTGTCAGCCAAAGTCAGTCTTACAAAATAGCCTTTTGCAAGTACTCTACAAAGGACAAGCTTGTAGGAGTGCTAACATAATTAAGACATTTAAATATAATCATCTATGTGATCATGTGTGTAGGTGAAAACATTAAACCTGTTAAAGTAAGTGAGGGAATTAAACATTTCCACAGTCCTAAGCTCAGTCTCACGATACACATGATAGTCTGTGCCATAGTCAAAAAACTTTTATTGAGCCTTCAAATCCGGATTATCAAGTCTAAATATAGGCATAGATATAAAAATCATTATGCATTTACACAAGGGCTGCAGTGAATCCACTATGAGTTGAACATGATAACATCACGAATATTAGGTAACGAATACGAATATTGTGAAAGCAACTTAGCAGTTGATGGTTATTATATTCAGTGAACCAATAACAAAATAGGTTTTTTGACATGTTTTGACTATCTTAACAGTGGTAGTTCATCATGACAGTGGCCAGTGACCACATTACTATCAAACTAAATATAGAAGACTGTTGAGTATTATCCTGACAGGCTTGGATATATTCCATGTCGTATATCTAGCTTTGATAAATACACTCAAGCTCAAGTAAAAACTCCCTTTTAAAAATCAGTGATGAATATTGGATTCTAGTGATCACGAATAATGAATTGCATTTATGAAAGTTTACGGTTTCACATCGACGGAAACAGAAATGAATCGTAACAGCCCCAATGTACAAACATGCACGCGCACGCACACATGCATACATACACAGAGAGGCCATAAGAGGCAGAGCTTACAATTAGACTTTGTTTGACGAGACAGTGGAGGATCTAACTAGTGGCTGAGGACACAGACTGATTGCATGTATGCAATGTTCCCGAATCAATTTTTTTTTTATTGATTCATTATTAGAATACAAACGGCTGCTAATAAATATCTAAGTGTAACAGATCGTCTGTCTGTGTTTTGTTTGTAAATAACATGTTACATAAAAGAGCTATTCTGTTATCCTAATTTCATACTGGTATAAATCTGTTGATCTAATACTTAATGTAACATATATACTCGACAAAAATAGTTAGGGATATACGGTAAATTTTGAAATTATGCATAATGATCTATTTATTCATTGACACACTGATAAAATATCAATCATAAAAATACCAATATCTCTAACATATTTTGTCCAGTATATAACATTTGGGATTACCCTTTCTCAGTAAAGTACAGATTCCAGTGCTATTGTTAGGTGGAGTCCAATCTGGGAACTTTGTGTGTGGGCGATTAGGTGCTTGACTCTTGAGAGTGTGGGTTTTGAATTCTGAATGGGACTCAGCCTAACAAAAGTACTGGAATCTGTACTTTACTGAGAAAGGGTAATCCCAAATGTTATATACTGGACAAAATATGTTAGGGATATTGGTATGTGGAAAGGGTAATCCCAAATACAACATGTTACATTCAACCACTTTCTAAAGAGCACTGTGTATTCTATTCATAATTAATTATTTTAAAAGGGTATTTAATACATAAATACCTCAGCTAAACCATAGATACCAAATACCTTTGATAAGAGTTGTATGGAACATATTTCAGTTATACACTCTTTTTTTCTGTAAATAATCGGTAATGTGTACAGAAGAAAAAATAAGTCATTTTTGTCGTTTGTTGGTGTTCATAGGTTGTGCTTACAGATACATATATATCACTGACACATTGGTGTAGAAGTCGGTCAGGAGGCACTCAGTCAAGCACAATGTTTCATGCAAACAATACAGTGTATATCATGACAAAATACTCAAAAGTTTACCTCTACTAGTAAACTTAATTACATGAGTTGAAGTATCGTATGGAAGAGTAAAAATATCTATTCCATGTACATGGGGCCAAACTGATTATGCAGATCACTAATTAAATATATAAAATTATAGAGTCACATTGTTTATACTTTCACCCTGTTATGTAATAACTCTTATAATCTTTGGTATTTGACCAAGGGCATTTCCAAGATTCATGCTCGAGAATAAGTATGACTTTGAATAATTGACAGAGGGGATGAGGATACGTACATTCTAATTAACTTGGTTCAAGATCTTGAATTAAATAATTATATATGCATACTCACATGTTTTGAAAGACACATCTGGGTCATCTTTGGCATACAAGTCTCTCATATGAACATAGACAATCCCAAACGTGTTGATAATGCCGAACACAGTTCCATTTGCCCACATTGAGGTAAAGCAGACGACCCATCCCCACCCCCCATCTGGTTGCTCGAAGTCACCCCCTCTCGCACTCCTTTCCTCGGTGGCACCTTGCAATGGCTCATCTGCCTCCGTAGTTTTGTATTTTCCCATTTTCTTCTTCTTGTCTGCCATTATTAGTATGTAAGTCCGTTTCCGATGACTGGACGTGTAGACTAACGATGATCAGCTGTTGCCTAACAAGCCATGTGACGTGATTACAACACTTATCACACCTCTCCTAGCTAGGTAATAGAGGTGGGTTTATACCAACGGACAAACTCGCCTGCAAATGAAGTGGTGATAAAGTATGACAGAAAAAGAAACAGCTTTTATCATGTTGATAGATACGTCTATTCATTCTACTTCATGTAGTCATTGTAAATGACCCTGGCTATGTGAGGCTGTACTGCTTAGTCAAATTAATCGCATCAGTAAATTCCGATCCTGTCCTTAATATATCTTATCAATATCACCGACAGTAGCTACAACAAAATCTAAGATATGACCTTATAGATACCTGTTCGTTTTTGTCCAGTACTTGAACGGGCGCTCACTGCCCTAGCTGTCAAACCTTCCTCAATGCGAATCCAATGCTCGAGCAGACGATGTACAGGGTCGGGGTGGGCACAGCAAAGGTCAAGGTCATTCGTGCCTATGGACGCGATACAAGACTACAAGCTTAAAACGGAGGAAAAGACACTGTCTGAGCATAATCACAAAGCAAAACAAATTAAGGTCAAACAATTCTAGGAAGCAAAATTCCTGGGCCTATACACACAGTTCTTCTTGCCGTTCTGACCAAGCGGAAGCTGAGCCAGTATCAGCTGATCGACTTTCTAGCCGGTGTCAGGGAAAATGCGCGAGCAAGTGATTCTCTGGCGCGCGACGAATTGCTAATATGAACATACCAACACCGCATGAGAGATAATGAAAGGGTAGATGCACAACTCCAGTGACGACCCTCGATAAGTTACCGTAGTAAGTTTATCACTATTAGACCCAAATACATAGTTTTATCTAAGTGACTCGATCTATATACTGCAGTCGCCATTATACATAATGATAGTTCAGAACTGGAATAGGAAGCGGCTTTATCAAAATCTAAATATAGGCATATAAATAAAAATACATATAAAAAGCATTACACACACGCGCGCGCACACACACACATGCACTGGTGTGTTTTTAAAAAAAATCTTTTATCTGCTGAGCTGTTGAACCTTTATTCAGTATTTTGAAAAACAGCATCGCCTATTCTTGAAAACACACACCAAAACTAAAGGTACAAAGTCAAGATCACAAACATCAAATAAACTTCAAACAACAAAAAACGACAGAACTTTACAACATTACATAAAGTGAAAACCCCTCTGTAGTTTGTGTTTGCGATATTATTCTCGACATAGATTTTTCATTTATGGGATTGTTTCTTAACAGATTTCTCAAGCCTTGTCGCATATGTCAGCACTTGTACCGCTTCCTTAAGATCCAGTTGTCGGAAGGTTGTGACATGCTGTTGGAGTGGAGGTAAAGATTAAGGGGTGAAACAAGGGATGGGTGACATGCAGGAAATGATTCCTCAGTGCGTGATTGTCGCCTCTCAGGTCAAAGGTCAGCACAAGGTGTGGGTGTCTGTAAGTGATGACTCGGGTCAGGAAGGACACGGCGATGAAGTTGTAACGTGAAACACATAGCTTCATACTGGTTAAAGTGCGATGAGAATTGTACTGTTACAGGAAATACCTAGTTTGAAATAACCCTTTCTCTGGTTTGCTTGCATGAATAGTAAACGCCCGTTCTCACCAATGAGGTGCAAATGGGTAAGCGTCGTAAGTCAAAAGCCAAATACACAAAATCTGAGCAAAACATTTTATTTAGAAAGTTTGACATATGGTAATGTTACATATCACTTTTTCAGCCGCACCATTTTACAAATAACCATACAGCTTGCATGCAAAAGTGGCACCTTGCATTATAAAATATTATCATCTGATACGTAAGTGACTAGTTTTTCTGACTAGAGAATGAAGTGACAAATGTGATGAATTATTTGAGTAACCTATCAAATAATCCGCATGAATATGGCGATTTAGTAACACACATGTCTGCTCAAAACTTTAGAAGTCCTTTGACATACACATTGTTAATCATTATTACTCAGATATTTTTTTAGAAATACCAACAAATTGGAAAAACAGTCTCAAATCAAACCTGATAACTAGATTTGCCGACAATCTGTGGACGTAGTAGACCAAACAATGAATAGCAACATACCTGATCGATAGCTAGTTGCAACACAATAAAACTCATGAAAATTACCAGTCACTGTTTGCAGTACAAACAGTAACGTATGTAGCCCAACTTTCAATTCAATTTGTTTCAATTAAGATTTTTATCATGAAGAATAATACTTTTTCTGACCTAAAACATCAATTTAAACACATCAACATCCTTTTATTTAAAATTACAAGATTTAATATTTCTTCCTTTACTGTTTTAGTACTACATAAAGAAAATATCACGGTAATCAATATTTATCATCATAAATTTGGCAAAAGGAACATAATAGGACTGTATCCTCGATCGTTCCTCTCAAGGAAGGCGGGTCCTTTTGCTTTCTGCCTTTACCGATATCCTTTCTGAATTTCTGCTCTACTTTTTCCCATCTGGAATAAGAAACAAATGAGTAACGTATGTATAATACACTCTACCATATAATCATGCTCTTTCACATAACATAGAGCCAGGACTAATCCAAATGTAATTACAAATATATTACCTCTGTCTGATAACCTACTAAAGTACCTTTCATTTGTACATCAATCCTTCCATTCCATTAAACAATCAAATATTCATATCAATATTCATATAATTCAGAGATGAAACCATCTCTTTACCAACACATAGCTCATTATGTGAAAATACAACAGCATTAAATAACACAGATAGCCAGTTTAAGTCTTAATGTTTTTGAAAAAAAACAAAGTTTCTGGCTTCAAATGATATAAACTTTACGTTTGAAGCCTTCAACAAATGTTGTTTCCTACGCTACCATCGATAACGTATGTATCAGTTACTTTAGCATGCCTTGATCGAAAACTGGACCACCAAATGATGCACCAGCATCGCTTTCCTGTTCGTTATGATGATAGTTAAAACACACAATGACAATTTGAAAGAATTACACTTTGTAACATGTTTAACTTGATGTATTTAATTATGCATCAACTGAGTTTTAAACAACATTACCTCATAAAACTGATGTGGTTTCCTACCCCAAATGTGTCTGTGTCTGCTGTTCGATGACTGTCGCCACAAGAAGTAGATATAGCCAAAAGCTGATCATAGTTTCAAATTCTTAATTTCGTACTTTCTAGTCACGTATGTAACGGTTACGTATGTATGTTTTCAATGGTTTCCATTTTCATTTTTGCAAATCTATACACACTACCGATCGTGATATGAGCTGTTTTGCAATACTAGAAATGTGTGTTGTCGGTATAATGTTTTGCATGAAGTGGTATAAAAATTAAATTAATTATTGGCATGACAACGTATGTACTGCTTGATTTCTGCGCATCTTGTTTAAGGTGTTGAAAAGTAGTTTTTTTCCAATATTGAACATACTTATAGTGAAAACCTGTCGTAATTAAATTGGTAAAGGTTTTGAGTACAAATAATTGATATTGTACTTACCTCAAGCCAGAAAGGTACACTGCTACACTGTCATCCAGAAACAACACAACGTATGTATCCAAAGTTTGGCGACAACATTTCAACACTCTATAACTATTCCGATTTGGATGGTTTGCCTTCTTATGCTCATTTGAATGCTGCGTAATAAGTACATTGTTCTTTAGATACTTAATCTGAAACTCAAACTGCAATATAAAAATGACAGTATTAACTTAAGTGACATGGCGACAGTAACGTAGTATCGTTTTGCCAACTTTGACTTTTCCTGCATTGCCAGTATAAGGACAGAAGGCATGAAATCAGTTTTATCGGGTAGGGCGAGTATATGACTTTGTGAATAATGCAAATACAGGGCACAATATTTGTTGGATTTTGAACAAATGGCTGGCGACATCAATTGCACCTCATTAGTGAGAATGGGTGTAAAAGCAAGTGCATATATGAGATGGGCGTGTTTAGCGTGTATTTGTTTATTCCATGTTGTAATATTACCGATTCCCCACATGGGTACAATGTGTGAAGCCCATTTCTGGTGTCCCCGCTGTGATATTGCTGGAATATTGCTAAACGCGGCGTAATTTTTCAAGGTCACAGCGACACTTTGAAGATTTCAGTATGTTAAGATTGTCAGCAAGATATCTCAAGAATGGTTCACTGGATTTTCTTCATACTTTCAAGATTTCTCTTGAATGTTTTTTGATAAGCAATTTCTCTATTACTATTTTTTGCATATTTCATACACCATGACATTCATGTCAAGGTCCAAGTGAATCTTGAAAATATTTGTGTGTTTGAACAGCTACAGAGCAAGATATCAAGAGAGGTTGACAGATCATGTTTTTGTTGACATTTAACTTCTATCTTAAACTACGTCATTCACTTTCATTACTCTTTAAGTTTGATTTGATAATTTGCGGCGGGGGGATTATGTCACCTTAGTGACAACTGCTTGTTGTGCATATTGTCCTTGTATTTATGGTCGTTTTTACCACCTTTCAAATCTGGTTGTCGAGTAGCTTGTTTTGACTCCCACATCTCCCGTTAGTGACGTTTGCTTTCCTTATGTTAGAAGCTAGTTCTGGCTGCTCCCTCAGATCCGGGTATCAATTTGCTCTGTCAAGTCTTATCATCCACAGGCATTGCTAGACCGTTATGTGGGTAGTCGAAACTTGGATGAGGCTAGTAAGTAATTTGAGGGCGATTTTGAATTTGTACTGACTTACTCCTGGTGTGAGGGAGCCAGATTTATTGGCAAATGAGTCACATTTTATGACACGTAATTTGGTAATTAAAGGGGGAGCCAGTTTTCCCCGAGACGGACAAATTGAGGTCCAGTATCTTTTTTATTGTCGTGAATCAGTTCAATCTGGTTTATTACCTGTATGTTCTAGAAGTCTAGATTTTTCTTGTTCAGTGACTTTTGTAAAAAATAGATTTTATCTTCCTAACTAACCAAGCTCCTCATCAGAGCGGTGAGTTATTTAACTCTAGGGTGGTTACTGGTCACGGCCGACTTAACTGATTGACTGTAAATTGTCGATTGTCTTGCTAGAGAGTGGTTTTAGCTGTTGGTAATAACGGTGATACCGTTGCTTAGATAATCAGATTACATATATTTGATCATGGTTTGTTAATCTGCGGTCATTGTGAGTATTTAGTAGGGCCTTGATCCCTTAGATGTTTAGTTACATTTAGCTGCTAACAGTCCGAACATTTACCCTTTTTCTAGTATACATTTAATCTAGTTCAGTGACCAACTTGGTAGTCGCTGGAGTTCAGCTCCGTGACACTATGATGGCTTTGTGGTACGGGTCCCTGTCCGACTTCTGTATTTAAAAAAAACTATGAAGGTCTGGGGCCCGTTTCACAAAGCGATCATAGCGCTACGATTATGATCAAGTATGGGGCTTACGATCAACGTAGCGCTAAGATCGCTTTGTGAAATGGGGCCCGATTAGAATTGGTATTCAGCAGCCCATGGATGTCGTAAGAGGTGACTAACGGGATCGGGTGGTCAGGGACACTTGGTTGACACATGTCATCGTATCCCAATTACGTAGATCGATGCTCATGATGCTGATCACTGGATTTTCTTATCCAGACTCGATTATTTACAGACAGCCGCCATATAGCAATAAAATTTAACTCACTCACTCCGCATACTCGTACGTGTGTTCATGCGTGGGTTGGGGATGTGAGGGTTGGTTTGTTTGTACATCTGGCCCGGCTTATGATGTTTTTTACACTGTATGTCAACTGAGTTACAATGTCAGATTATTATTATGGATACCCTACTCAGATACATTCGGCGGCCGAAGGTTCCATTCACATGGAGCACACTTTA